AAAGTAAGAGGGCTGGTGTTTGCAGTTCCTCTTCAGAACACATGGCGGAGAATGGCTCTGGGGACCTCTGCTATCTGCGTCCAGTGCCCAAAACACTGGGCCTTTGGGACCAGCAGGTGGTAATGGTTACGTGGCTGGACTCTCACGTGGTCAACCTTGGTTCTAGTCTCAGACCTGGAGGCTTGAAATTCACGCTGGGCCCATGTGCATGTGTGGCCCAAATCCTGAGAGAATGGGGGAGAAGGGATGGCAGTGTGGCCATCCCTGGGGGGTGTGTGTGTGGGGGGGGAGATGATTTCTCACTTTCTGTCTCTTTGGTGAGCACACATGCCCTATAGCAAAAATTTCTCCCCCAAACAAACAAACAAAAGAAAAAACCACTGGGCCCCAGGCCCCAAAATGACAAACCCTCAAGATGCCCAGTGATCATCTGTTGGCTACTCCCTGACTTGGGCAAATAACAAGTAGTTAGTTCTCTGTGGGAACAGTAAGTCATCTGGTTTAAACCACAAGGCTTGCTCTCAAAATGCAAATGTCCGGTGGTGGTGGTGGGGGATGACACACTTCGTGGAGTCCTTTCTACCTAAATGGGAAACAAAATTATCTTTAAGGTCCTTTTTGCCTTCTTTCTTTTCAGCTTTTATTTGTTTCTTTGCCCCATGAAAGTGAGAGACAAAAAGGGGAGGGGTGTGTGTGGGGGGTGACTCCCAACAGGGTCTTCAGCTACAATCCTCCCCAACCTCGGCAGGCCAAGATCACCCAGGACCTTTGCAGCACTGCAGGGTGTTGCATTACCACTGTACCAAGACTGAACCTCTTAGTGTCTTTCTTTCTTTCTTTTTTTTTTTTAAAATCTATTTAATTTTATTTATTCATTCATTTATTTCAATTTGACCAGGGGGAGAGAAAGAGAGAGAAAATGGGAAAACGAGCCACAAGGTCCAGGACTTGAACTGTGGTCGACCATGTGGGAGTGTCCAACGCCTTAATCATACCACCTGCTGGTCCCTTGGACCTCTTAGTTTCTTTTTGAAGAACTCATCAAAGGGCAGGGCTTTTCTGGGCAAAACTGCGCAGTGGGTGAAGATAATTTTTGAGCCCTAATTCCCAACTGGCTTTCAGTTCTGCCTTTCTTCCCTCCCCCCCCAAAAAACATAAACAAACAAACAAAAATATTCAGGGTCCTGTGCTCTCTTTTACCCAGTGCCTCCAGTTCTCTGGTCTCATTTGCCTCAGGAAATGCTCTGTGGTCCCAAGTGTCCTCTCCTTCCTCCCATCTCATCCCTACTGGTAAAGCACAAAGCCTCCATTTCCTAGTGGCTGCAAACTTGGCTGGACAGCAGTGCAGGAAGCTTGAAGATTGAACTCATTCACACCAACTTGCTAATGAACCACGGTCCTTCAGTTTCCCAGAGGTATGTGCATTCATTTTCCAGCCACTTTATTGAGATATAATTTACACAGCATTGCCTAAAGCAGCCAATTTAATGTGTTTTTTTTACTGTATTTACAAAGCTATACAATCATCATCATCAAATTTTAGAATATTTTCATATTATAGAATATTTTCATATTTAGAATATTTTCATATCATATGCCACTCCCCATTCTCCTCTTTCCCCAAGCCTGGAAAATTGCTGAACTATTTTCTGTCTAGATTTTCTGCATTCGTTTTTAGTGAATTATTGTTATCCCAAACCATGGCTATCTAATGGTGACATATTAAGTAGAGGGAGGGGAGTTACTTTTCGTGAGAGGAGTATTACTGGTACCCATTTCTATGAGTATTTCTGAATAGCCTAAAATATTAATATTTGTTTTAAAATTTCTTTTTCATTTTTTTATTATTATTTTAAGTTTGCTATAGGGTATGTGTGCTCACCAGAGAGAGACAGAGAGAGAGGGAAAATGAGAAAGCAAGCCACAGGTTTGGGACTTGCACTGTGGTTAGCCATGTGGGAGTCTAGCCTCTTAATCACCATGCCACCTGCTGGTCCCAAAATATTAATATTCTACTATCCTAACTTTTTTCCCCTAAATATAATTATTTATAATGATATATTTATTTAATTCCATTTGTTTAATTTGACCAGAGAGAGAGACAAAGGGAAAGGAAGGAAGCAAGCCGCCAGGTCAGGCACTTGAACCGCAGTCAGCCATGTGGGAATCCAGTGCCTTTAACCACCACACCACCTGCTGTTTATCCAACTGTTGGGCACCTCCTACATGCCAGGCACCAGGCTAAGCACTAGGGCACAAAATGAGTAAGACACTAACTCTGCCCTCAAAGAGGTCAGGGGACTGTGGAGACCGTTGTGTGAATAAGTGAAGGTAATACAAAGTGAGGGTGCTTAGAGACCTAGGCAAGGTGTGCTGGGAACAGAGATGGGCGGACCTGACCTCCTGGGGAAGTGGGGAACAGGGACAGCAGAGGGCCTCACCCAGGTGCTGTGAGTTTGGTATCTGAGGACATAAAGAGCATTTGGGGGCCAACAAGCAGCGTCAAGGTTGAGGTGCTAGATTCCATATGGCTAGCTTTGCGGTCGGAGTCCCAGACTGGATGGCTTGAGAATCACGCCAGGTGCGTGTGCACGTGTGCCCAACATCCCGAGGGGAGAGTGGAGGAGATGCGACTGTGGCGTGGTCATCACCCTGGGAGGTGATTTCTCTCTCTCTCTTGCAAGGTCACACGCCCTATAGCAAACACTAAAGAAAAAAGTAGTTCCAGGTGTCTGGATGGGCAGTTTTCAGTGGGGGTGTGATGTGCATGAGATAGGGACAATGGAGAGGGAGAGAGCGAGTGCCAGACACCCAACAGGCTGGGTGGGGACTGAGGGGAGGGGATGGAGGTGTGGCCTGACCCTAGGAGGGTGCTTGTTTTTCTTGTTCTCACGTGTGCACACACTATCATGAAGTTTCAAAAATATTAAGAGTCACATCTGAGAGGAAAAAAAGTGCCTATCCTTTGACCCAGTAATTCTATTTGTAGGAATTTATCCTAAGGATATAAATAAGGATGCACATGAAGCTTTATCTACAAAAATGCTCATTGTTTACTACAGTAAGAGTGGAAACTTTTTTTTTTTTGAGAGGTTTTTGCCATAGGGCACATGCGCTTGCCAGACAGACAGAAAGAGACAGAGAGATAAAAAAGTGGGACAACACCCCCCGGGGGGATGGCCACGCCACAATCCCTTCTCCTCTATTCTCTCGGGATCTTGGGCACGCACGCACACATGCCCAGCGTGAGTTTTAAGCCACCGGGTCCAGGACTCGAACCGCGGTTGACTACATGGGAGTCCAGTGACATAACCATTGCACCAACTGCTGGTCCCAAGAGTGGAAACTTTTTATAACTTGCTACGACAGTGAAAAATGTCTTAACAGTAAGGGAATGCTTAAATAAATTATGCAATGGAATTATCTTTAGACAAATAAAATGAATATTGTAGATGAATGGCTATTGACACAAAAAATATCCACAATATTTTGCTAAGTAGAAAAATGCGGACTCTAGGGCCCAGCAGGTAGCATGGTGGTTAAGGTGCTGGACTCCCACATGGCTGACATAGTCTAGTCCCGGACTTGGTGGCTTGTATTTTCTCTCTCTCTCTCTGGTGAATGCATGTGCAAATTTAAAAACATAATACAAATTTTAAAAATAGAAAGAAAAATGCAGACTCTAAAGCTGCATTTGTAGGATAAAAATCCCAGTTGTAGGGTAAAGTCTCAGAAAAAAAATAAGACCTTACTAGTGGTTCTTTCTAGGTGATATGATAAATGTTTTTCTTTTCTTTCCTTTTTAAGTTTTTTAAAATCAATCATACACTAGAGAAACGGAGAGGAAGAGGGAGAAAGCACCCCTAATGGCCACACCATAATCCCTTCTCCTTTGTTCCATCCTGTCAGGATTTGAGTCAGCATGTAAGCACACACATACAATGTATGTTTTAAGTTGCCAGGGCCAGGATTCAAACCACACTTGGCCATCAGAGATCTGGCTCCCTTAACCACTAGGTTATGGGGCTGGTCTCATACATGGCTTTTTATTTATTTATTTATTTATTTATTTATTTATTTATGAGAGGTTTTCCGCTATAGGGCACGTGCACTCGCCAGACAGACAAAGAGAGACATAGAGACAGAAAGCGAGAAATCACCCCCCAGAGGGGATGGTCATGCCGCAATCCCTTCTCCTCCATTCTCCTCTCCGGATCTTGGGCACGCACGCACACGCGCCCGGCGTGAGTTTTAAGCCACCGGATCCGGGTCGCGAACCGCGGTCGATTACGTGGGAGTCCAGCGACATAGCCATTACGCTAACTGCTGGTTCCCATACATGGCTTTTATTGTAAGACAATGTTTTTTGTTGTTGTTGTTGTTTTTAAATTTTTGTGTTTACGTAGCACTCCCTCTTCCTCCATTCTCCTCTTGGGATTTTGGACACACATGTACATGTGCCCCATGTGTTTTGTAAACCACTAGGTCTGGGACTTGAACCATGAAGTCCGCCATGTGGGATCTAGTGTCTTAACCACTACGTCACGTGGTGGTCCAATGCTTTTGCTTTTTGTTAAGTTTATTTATTTTCTTCTTCTGAGAGAGAGCATCCAATATGGTCTCGATACTGCCCTATGCTCGGCTTTGGCCAGCCGCAGATTATGAGCACACACGTATGGCATACTCAGGAAAGTCTCCGAACTCGAACCCAGAACCTCCCCATGTGAGTCAGCTTTGTAGAGCAGGCATTTTACCACTGTGTCACTGTCTGGCCCCCCAGATGATGGTTATTTTACATTTTTTTTAAAAAAAGGAATGACCTAGGACGAACTCAGAAAAATGAGAAGATCAGGGATGGAGCTTTGATCAATACCCTTGACACCTCTGGCCATCTGGCCTCTGTCCGTATGGTTGCCATTGTCCCCAGTGTCTCTCTCATATCACATTTGCTACATGGCTGCAGAGAAGAATACAAGAAGCAGATCACTACAAACCGTGGGTCTTGGGCAAACTTTTATTCTCCAAGTCTGTTTTCTCATTTTTATAGTGGAGAGAGCAACGCATTCCTCAGAATGGTTATCTGACAATCAGATGCTTACAGACATGAAGTGCTTGCTTCACAATACTGGCCCTGTCTCCCTTTTTCCTTACTCATTCCTCCCTGCTAGACCAGATTCCACCTCCAGAGGTTTTGGCCCTCAAAAAGAGAGAGGAGGTGTGTGATGTCTCCTCTCTCTCTGAACACTGGATATGCTGTCGGACTCTGCAGAACACTGAACTCTGCACTGACCTGGAGGTAGTGTCTAGCTCTTCCGCCTCCCCGATGGTAAGTTTCTGGCTCAGTTTGGTCATCTCGCTCTCTAGGTAGCAACTAACAATGCTCTGCACCTGGGGGATGCTCTAGAATTTTGGTTGACTGAATTCATGTTGCTCATGATTTAGGTATTCATGGGTTACTCCAAGGCCGCACTATTTAAGGGTTAGTCGGTTTAGATGTGGGAAATTTTCTCCTAATCAGGATCTGGCAAGGTTTATCTTCCAATCTGCAAATGACCAGCAGAGAGGGAGAGAAAAGGCAGCTCAGCAGACCCCTCGCTCCTTGTCAGAAGCTCTGGGGAGAGGGTCGCAGGGTAGAGAAGGGTGAAGGGAAGGCTGTTTCTCCCCTTTGGGTAGAGATGTAATTCCCGCACTCCTCCCCTCCCAGGGTATAACTGCCAGAGCCTCCAGCTGGACAGTTCCGGGGCAGAGCACTTGGGTAGACACATCATTCCACAGGCCTAGGTGTTCCTGGCCCGGCAGAACAGTCCGCTGCATCCTGCCTCTGTCGGTGCTGTGGTGCTGTCTCTGTCTGTATCTGCTCCTTCTCCTGGCCTGGCCCCCAGCTGGGACTCCACCTTGCTCTGGTCCACATTCTTCCCGCTGACACCTTGCGGAGACTGCCAGGAGCTGACAAAAGACCTTTGGGTCGCAAGTTAAGAGACCTGTGTGACCTACGGCAAGTTGATTAAGATTCCAGAGCCTGCCTCCTCATCTATAAGCTGGGAATAACCACAGGGCCCTGGCCCTTGTCACAGCCCAGGATTATTGAGGGTAATCGAATGGGATGTCTTAAAGCACGAAAGACCGAGATCTTACAGACGCCAGGTGCTCCCAGGGCTGCCCGTGGGGCTTCCTCCCTAACTACCCACTAAAGCGATCCTGTCCGCCCCGCCCTGGCTGCATCCGCCTCACCCTGCATCTCCATCTTTTCTGTCACTGTCTTCTTGCGCCTCAGAGGTTCTCGGTCTTTGCATCTCCCCGGTTCTTTTCCGGGTATGGTTTTCAAGCCCCTCCGGGGACTCGGGTCTCCAAGTCCCAGCGGCGGTCGCGGCCCAGGCGCCCCCCACTCGGTGCGCCCTCCTTTGGCACGGCCGCCAGGCCATAGGCTCGCCCAATAAGAGCGCGGGACTCGAGTCTGACAGCTCAGGAAGCGGCCAATCGAGCCCGGCCAGGGAAAGGGGGGCGCAGTGCCGGGGCTGAAGTTGGGTGGAATGGGGGGAGGGGGATTAAAGGGGGAATACAAAAGAGGGGCGCTCGGTCTGGGGGCGCAGGAACCCAGGCCGGGGGCGGGGGAGGGCCGCACGCCACCCAGGTCCAGCAAAGGGACCGCGGGCTGGACGCGGGTCCAGGCACCAAGGGAGGGGCGCAGCAAGAATTTTAGGTGAGGAAGGGGAGCTGGGGTCCCCGCGGTCCCCGGGTCGAGCCTGAGGATGCCCGCGGGGCGCGCAGGCTGGGGC